GCTTGAGTTTCGCTTCCTCCCCCCCCCCCTCGGCCTGAAGCGCTGGGCTCCCCCGAAGCGGAACCGAGGATCTGGCCCTGATCCAGCAGGCAACAAGCCCGGATTCCTCCCCGGGGCAGCTCCGGGACTCTCCCGCTCCGCCCCACGGCTGAGTCTCCAGGAGGGGACGCCTCCTCGGTCCTCTGCCCTCCCCTCCCCGGAAGAGGTTGAGGGGTCCCTCCCGACCCCCGAGGAGACCCCGGACAGCCCAGGGAAGAAACCGAGGGAGGGCTGGAGAAACGTCCCCGGAGGCCCAAAGGACCCGAAGACTCCGATTCTCCCTCTTCACACGTTACGTGGAGACTCAGCTCTCTGGGGGGAGGGGGGGCTCTGATGGCCGGGAAAGGTGGGAGGAAAGAGAAGCACCACAAATTCCTTTCAGTATTTCAGAGGAGGTTAGCTTGGTTGATTTAAAAATATGGGGTGGAAGCAGGATATGTGAAAAGTCCTCGTGGAGCTTTGCTTCACTTTCCATGTGGCAACTTCCCTGAGATAACTGAAATGTTCCTTCTCTCAAGCCTAACTCTTCGTCCCAAACAACAAAATGCCATAAGTATGAATAAATAAAAGCCCTGGTCAATTCAAATGTCTTTCTAACAACTGCTAAATACTATCAACTCCTTCACACAGAAATGGAGGCAGCTTCTTTTCAAACAGTGTTCCTCAGTTATTTTTAAACCTAAATTGAAGTCATAGTCTCCACTTATTTTATTACTCTTTACCTTACTTAACTTGATTGCTAAACACCAAGTCAGTTTGCATCTGTGCTTTCCTCATTACCGTTGCTGCACCCACTCATTACACAATCGTTTCTGGGGGAATGGCAGGAGTTTGGCATTCTTTCAAGGTTTCAAGGCACTTTTGTTGATGCAGCTGACTTCCACAATTTCCTCATTAACTGCTTTCTCTGGGCAAAGAACCACATTATTAAATATTGATTTCCTTTCTTTTTAGGGCTGTCAGTTTTACCATTTTCAGTCTCACTGGTCTCCTACTATTTAGTGTCCCTGTGGTGAATTGATTTCTAATTTTGCACGTTCATCTTCCATGAGGTCCCTGTATCAAGGCTATTTGATGGGAGTCCACAGAAATTGGCTCCAGCCCTCAAGGCAAAGCTTAGGAGATGTGGCTCCATAGCCGCCTTTTCCACTCATTGCCGGGAACTTTCAATCCGTTGCTCACCAACAACCAGGCTCAATACTTGACCCCCTCTGTAGTGATCCGGTTCCCATGAAACACAAGACACAGGGCTGTCTGCAAAAGTGAGAACTCCGAGTAGCTTCGTAAGCTCTCTTTTATTGAAATTTTACACAAAGACCTCGCTCTCAAGGAGGAAATAACAACCTTCTGGTTAGCTATTTGCTAGATACTGACACAGATAACATTTATTTGCACTTCGTACGTGTTCC